CGGCAGAGGTTTCGTCATTTGGGGCTCAGGTTTCGACTTTCGTCAGCAAGCAAAAAAGGTTTCGTCTAACAACTATAGATACGGATATATCAAATAAATACAGAAACATGGTGTCTTCAAAACATCTTTCGCTAGCGAATAATTGAAAAAAAAAAAGTAAAAAGCTTATCATTTCGAAAATTGCAAACATTTAGATGTTAGTATGTTATTATAAGTCGAGTTTTCAAGCACCTTCGAAGACAAGAATATATCGGAAACTTCTACGACAAATATTAATAAAATCAAGATTTTTTGAACGGAATTTTGAGTTATATCTTTAAACTAGTCAACAAAATTCTTGACCATATCTTGTGTAATATGTTTATTATAAATGTCTATTTTATATCTGGAGCCTTTTTATATTTTTTGTCAATATTTAACCTCTTCCATAAGCTTTTTCATAAGTTTTAGCACAAACTAAACTCACCAATAAACCGAAAATTTACTAACATTGAACGTGTTGACATTTAAAATGATTAAATTATCTGTAAATCAAGTATTATCGTTATATGTGACATATGTTTTTCGTACATATCTTTCATGTGTCTGATATAGGGTGAAAATTACTATAATTTGCGTAAATTTGTGTATATAATTTTTGTTATGTGAATAGCATTGGCCAGAACTTTCGTAGAGCCGGCACATAAAGTTTAGTAATGGTGGCAAACCTTTTATGCCATTGCACTATTTAATGCAAAAGTTACATACGTACATACGTACTGTACACGCATACGTATATACAATTTTATAATTTATTGAATCTATTATGCTGAAATTACAAACTTAACTGAATCGGCTGAAAAATCATTCGGCTAATTTTTATCAGGTGTTTCAGGAATTATGATAATAGCTGTAATAATAAAAAAAAAAGGCTGGGAATTTTGCATAGCTAACTCCGGTTTAATATGCTACTAGAGCTAATACTGCCGAATCGGTTATTTTTATTTCCAAATAATTGGATTTATTCAACATTTGTCATGAAATAATCGTTTCCATTTGAAAAAATATCTTCCAAAAAATTTAAAAACTCGAAAAACTCGAAAATTCCAAAGGTATTTGTGTCAGAAAGTCTACTCCGATTATTGATTACGCTGGTGTTGGTGCTTTTGGTCAAACATTAATGTTATAAAGTAGTTAAAATTACGTAATAAGATTTGTGCACTATTTGATTACTAGAAAATCGTAACTCAGGAAGATGATGTTTGAGACGCCCCAGTCTGAGTATATAGCAAACACTTATTATACACATTGATTTATAAGTCATTTACCATTTGTAAGCTGTTACTCGTTTAACTTATCCGTGTTGAATTAGTGTGTGAGTATAACGATCATTTATCAACTAAGGTTATTCTCAAGTAATTCACTCAATGGGTCGGAGGTAAAGTTTTAATTAGTCGGAAAATTAATAAATTAACCAAGTGAGTTGCCATTTCGATTCGATACCTTGATACGAATGTAATAAATACGATCCGTCTTTTAACCTTTGTAAACCATAATGAATGCTACTATTCCGTTTTCGCTCCATATTTAACGGATAATGAAGGTTGTAACTCTATCGAAACAGATTCATATTATCTATACTATTTTTTCAGTACGAAATAGCAACTGCAGAAACTATAGGTTGCCTATAAACAAAAATTTTTTTATAAAATTTAAAATACTGAAAAATTTACGTCATGTTACCGTAAAGTAACTTTCGCTAACGACTCCGTAAGCTGATCCCGTTGCTATTGAAACAGAAGTTTAATTGGTAAAATCACTAAGAGGAGAAGCCACACAGCTGAAGCTTCGACAGCTGGTTAAATAGGAAATTTTTTTTTATTATGTTTTCAGAAGGCATAATCAAGATTATGAAAAGTAATAAGCTAAAATATTGCTATTGATGTGATGTTTGAGAATCATGATCATTATTTAATCAATTTTGGGATGCTTGAGAACACATTAAATTAAGTTATTATATTTGAAAATTTCATTCATCAACTAATATGTAATACGTCATAAAATAAGCAAATTCTCTGAATTCAAATTAATTTATAATTTGTTGGTAAATATTTGTGGCAATGTGGTTTTCTATGTTTGTGCTTAAGAATTCTGGCATCTGTCATCCGTGACTTCGACATGAGAGTTTTGTAAAGTTTTATAAGTTTTTAAAATCCAAATTAGAATCAGTAAATTCACATACAATTAAACGTTTGTTTAAAATTTTTTATACTTTTTATATTTTTATATTTTTTTTATATTTTTTATCCTACTTATCATTATAAATATTATTTGAAAAACTTCAATATTCCTGCTAAAAATTATCAAGGACAAGGATAATTAGAAATGTCATCTAATTCAGATAATTCTCATGTAATTTCAATAGAAGAGGATCCAGATAAAACTAAAAAAAATTTGGAAATTGTTTGCTCGCCTAATATGATATATGTTGCTACACTAGATGAAGATAGTAATATTAATCTTTGGTCTGTCGTTAGTCAAGAGCAGCACTTAGAGAATAAAAAAACAATACATATTGACAATATTTACAATATTGACGATATTTACAGCATTTATAAATTTAAAAGAGTATTTGCAATTTCAGATAATATGCATGCTTCAATTAGCCTTAATAGAGTTTATCCTTATAATTTCGGTAGGTTATGTATAAATTTAATATTATTGTTTATATTTCAATAAATTCAATTGCACTTACCGTATTCATGTACGTACATGTCTCAAGGAATTTTCGATTTTGAAAATGAACAAGAGATATTATTAACTTTTCATGATCAACAGAAAGAAATTGACTTTTTATCCTTTCTTAAAAACGGAGATATCGTAATTGTCAATGTCAGATATTACAGAGCATATGTTTTTTCATGTAAAGAAAAAGATAATATTAGTTGGGATTGTAAATCAGTGATTGAGCTTAAATATTTTAAAAATATATATATTACTCCTAGAGGCAAATTGATTATATCATATCGGCGGATCGGCGGAATTTGGCCTATTATTTTATTATCAATCTGATAATCATCGTCATAATAAACTGAGT